GGGAGGGAAAGCTGTTAAAGGGGTGTGGGGCTTAGGTGGGGAGGAGGATGGAGATGAGCACCCCACTCTGACCTCTTGGTGGGGTGGTCCCTTCAGCAGCAATCCCAGGACCACTGTGAGGAGTGGGCTGCAGAAGACCCAATCCTGCCTGGCTGCCCCTGCCCCTCCGATGACTCTGGGTCCAGTTCTACCCCTGTCCCCTCCCCTACTGTAGCTTTAATCAAAAGAACAATCTGCTCGCCTGGGAATCAGACCCAGATTCCGTTCCCCAGCAATGTCCTGAGGCCTCTGGGGACCTGCACAGCCCAACCCCAACCCAGGCCCCAGGCCCCAGGCCCCAGGCCCCAGGCCCCAGGCCCCAGGCCCCAGGGCTCTGCCTCTTCAGGGGCCAATAACAGGGCCAGGAAGCAAACAGGTGACATGATTGTCTTCTCCTGGTCTCCTGTTGGGGCCTCCTCCCGCCATAGGACCTGAGACCCACTTGTAGAAGGGTTAATAGGCTCAGGCAGGCAGTGACAGCTTAGGACAGCAGACCCAGGCGACTTGCCTCACTGGGGTCTCTGGGGACCCCTGCCCCAGGTATTCCTTGAAAAAGCCCCAGGACCCCAGCCAATGTGAGTCCCGGATTCTCTTAGCATTATCGCTTCAACTCCAGGCCAAGTTGCAGAGGTGGGCAGTGGGGATCCCCTGTTAGGAATTAAAGAACCTGAGGTTTAGGGAGATAGAGTAACAGTCCCAGGTCATGCGTTTAGCCTCACTCAAGACCCTGAAGGAGCTCAGTAGCCTTCCCCACCAGATGGGGCAGGTGGGGCCGCTCATCCAGGTGACCTAGGTGGAAGGTGACCAAGGCTCCCCAGGGTGCACGGTGGGGGTGGTCGACGGAGGAGGAGGAGCCACGGGAAGGGGGAGGAGTGGCGGGAACAAAAGGAGGGGGCGCGGCTGCAGGTGGGGGGGCAGGTAGGGCGAGCCCGCGCCCCCTCCCCGAGCGTCACCTTTTATGGTAAGGCGCGCGGGGCGGCAGGGCGGAGGGAGGCCGGGGCGGGAGCGAGGGGCGGAGGCGCAGCGCCGGCGGAGGCCGGAGTATGGGGCACACAGCAGGTAAGTGGGCTCAGTGTGGGGGTCCCAGCCATGCGCCCCAGGCAGGGTCACCCACAGGTGGCCGCACGGGCAACTCTCATCCACCGCGCTGGACCCAGCCTTGCGCTGCTGGGGGGCTTGGGGCGGGTACTATCACCCCTGTGTTCTCTTGTCCCTGTGTCTCCCGGGATCTCAGCCTTTAGGAACTCCTGGAGGTTGAGTGCGGGGACGGAGCGGTGGGTTCTTGTCCCTGCTCTGAAGTGGGACGGGGCTAGTAGGGCGGAAGCTCCTGCACAAAGAAGACAGCGTTCCGCACATGGATTGAATTATAATTGCCGCAATGACCCGGCCAGCTGCCCCGCTCCGCTGCTGCTTCAGGGCGAGCTCGCGGGGGGGTGGGGGGACGGGACGGGACGGGACACTGTTCCCGAACTCCCATGGCCTTGGAGTTCTGTTCCCAGCTCCAGTTAGGGGAGGGGAAGGAAGGTCCTGGGGTCTCTTTGCCCGGTCTGGCAGGGTGTGGAAATGAGTGATCCCTAAGGTGTATGCAGCTACTCCCCCCTCTCTAGCCCAGACCTGAGGTCCCAGGGGAGAGGCTGGGCAGCGCCCAGATTCCTGCTCTCAACAATGGAGACCACTGTCCTCCAGCCCCAGGGCTCCGCCTGCCCTCTGGGTCTGAATGACCTGCTGGTTTCCTCGCAGCCACCTTTCAGGGCAGATTTCTATTCACTAAAATACCAGGCCCAGAGAGGTTGGGTGACTGCATTAAGGTCACCCAATAGGAGCCGGAGCCGGGGAGAGACCCTTACTTTTGAGACTTCAAGGTGTCTTGTGGGAGTAAGTGGGGACATACACTCTCCTCCCGCCTCCAGCAAAGTTTAATTCTGGCTCCAAACTTAGACTGCTTTGTGGAATTGTGTGAAAGAGCGATGCTTAGAAGTGACTCCGAGGTGGCTTTAGAAATGCCGGCAAAGAAGTAGGAACGAGGGGACTACTCCAGGCAGCCAGCACATCCTCTTCCAGGGGCTGTAGCCACAAGCTGTCCCTGGCTGGCTGGCTGGCCGGCTCTCAGCCTTCTTCCTTCCTTTTGACAGGAAATGACTTTCCTTCCCTTTGTTCCCACTTTCTCCGCTTACCCAACTGGATCTGGGTGTCTAACTTGCCCTCCGGGGGAGGAAGGATGGGGGTGGAGGGTCGGCTGGGAAGTTGTCATACTGCGCCTCCCCCCTCTCCAGGGTGAACTCTGGGGCAGTGAGACCAGAGGAAAGCGCCAGCAGGCTCTCCTTATGGGACCTGACCGGGCTCTGAAAATCCCCAGCGCTGCTCCATCCACTGCCCGAGGTCCCCTCGGCTGATTGACAACGATAGGGGCCGGTATGGCTGCCCAGCTGTGAACATCTGGCCTCCATGCTGGATGTTTCAGAGAAAGCAGGCAGAATGGAGTGGGGATCAGACTAGGGGGGAGGGGGTGGGGGAGGGTTCGGAAGAGCCACAGCCTGTCCCAGGGGACCCGCCTAGAATGTGTTGACCTCAAGAAACGGTCTGGGTTGGGTCATTTGGGGGAAGGGGAGGGGCTTGGGGTGGGGGAGGAGGCTTGTACGGTCCAGGGAAGAAAAGGTCCAAGGATGCCCATGGACTTCCAGGTTGCATGATTCTCTGATGGGATTCCAAGCCTGCTGGAGGGCCAGGGGAATGCACTTGAATTGTGATTGGGACTGTGTGACAGAGCCCTCTCCCTACAGCTAAGGTGTGAGGCCTGAGCTCTTGGCTTATTTCATAAATGTCACTGTTAAGGTTTCTGTTTTAATTCTGAAGACCACTTACAAAACAAGTTCTATTTATGGGCCCGGGGTTGAGACAGAGTCTAATTATGTAGCCCTAAGCTGGTCTTGAACTCGTGGAAATCCTTCTGCCTCGGTTTCCTGTGTGCTGAGATTACAGTTCAAAATACTTTTAAAGGGTTTCTCTACATAGCCCTGGCTGTCTTGGAACTCACCATGTAGACCAGGCTGGCCTCAAACTCACAGTGACCCACCTGCCTCTGCCCCTGGAGTGCTAGCATTAAAATCATGCAGCATGTACAGTGCCTTATGGCCTTAGAGCTATTTTACAGTATTTTTTCCTCTGTCAGCCAGCAGGAGAGCCCATGGGGGCTGATGCTCCTTGAGAATCAGAAGGAAACCTGTGAGTGACCATGTGGGAGTCACGTCTGCCGTTAGGGTCTCTTGGGGCTGTCCCCCTCAACTGTCCAGCTGCACTGCTTGAGACTAACCAAATTCCTCCCCAAGTGCCTGTGACCGGGATTCAGTCATATCATGGTGGCCCACACAGAAAGAGGAAAGGAGATAAAGGGCACATTTTTAGCCATGGAAACTATGGTTGGGTGCCAGGGAGGACTCCTGTGGCCAGTTCACCCACAGTGACCCACCTAGACCTCCGCCCCAGAGGCTGCTATGCCCTTCCCAACATGGTGGTGCCTCCTCTACACAGATCTCTGCTTCCACACCTGCTCTGTGAGCTGCTCGCTGGCTCTCGGTGCAGACAGCTGATGGCAGGCAAGGTTACCTGAGGGGATCAGACACATGGATAGTGAGCCATCAAGTGCTACGATGAGCTGTCCTTACCCCGAGGAAGCCACAGATGCCCCAGGGTGGGAGTCAGGGGAGGCTTTGAAGAGGACAGGTGAGGTTTGAACTGGGTCTCAGAGAGCTGAAATTAACTCTGTAGGAACAGAAAGGGAAACGCTGACTAAATTCTCTAACAGGGGAAGAAAGGGCTAAAGTAATTAAAAATAATTTGAAGAGCCCGGCATGGTGACTCACACCTTTAATCCCAGCACTCGGGAGGCAGAGGCAGGCGGATCTCTGTGAATTTGAGGTCAGCCTGTTCTACAGAGTGAGTTCTAGGACAGCCAGGGCTACACAGAGAAATCTTGTCTCAAAAAAGCTTTTAAGCAGAAGAGAAACAATCAGATTTATGCTCTGGGAAGATTACGGTTAGGAGGTGGGTAGAAGACCAGCCACCCACTGAGACACACACACACAGACACACAACAAACACACACACACACACACACACACAGAGAGAGAGAGAGAGAGAGAGAGAGAGAGAGAGAGAGAGAAAGAGAGAGAGAGAGAGAGATAGGATGCACCTGGTCCTAAAGCAGGGCATGGCTTTGGAAATGGAGCAGAGTGAAAATCCTACCATGAGGCAGAATCAAGAATGTGCTGGTTTGGGGGCTGGATGGAGAGGGCAGAAGAGAACTGAGTGCTCACGTGCATGGCTCCAGTGCTATGTGACCCTGGACAAGTGACTTGACTTCTCTGAGTCTTAGTTGTCTCACCCATGAGATTGGGCGGTAATGGGGTGTTGTTGGGTGCTCAGGGCGGTATGGGAACAGAGTGGGTCCTGTCTTTTATTCATCTTGTCACTCTTATGTTGCTGCTTTCTTCCAGTGGAACTGGCCTGAACCTTGGACCTTGTCTCCCAATAGAATCGGTATCTCAGGTGAGGGAGGGGCCGTTGGCAGGTATCAGGCCTGTATCTGTCAGCTGCCTGGGCTGGGTTCTGGAGAAGGTGGCCAGGGAAGGTGTTCTCTCCTGAGTCTGCAGGACTGTCCATAGACCACTGGGAGGGGCCTTCAGGGTGTGTGGGCTCCTATAAACCAGCCACCTGGCGGCCCCGTGGCCTCTCTGAAGGCCATTCCCTGCCCCTCTTACCTCCCCCCCCTCCCTTCTCACTACATAACCCAGGCTGCCCTAGAACTCACCATTCTTCTACCTCAGTCCCGTCTCTGGAAGAGTTGGGTGTTGGGCTGGGCCCACCAGTACTGTGAGGTTGTCTCGAGAGAGAAAACAGGTTCTGGGAAAGTTTTTCTGTGGGCAGCAGGGTACCCTGTCCACCGGAACCCCTGTGCGCCCAGCAGGAGCCGCTGAGCATGGCCTCCAAGCCTGAGAAGAGAGTGGCCTCTTCTGTTTTCATCACCCTGTCTCCCCCACGACGTGACGTGGCTGTGACTGAAGATGTGGGCCAGGCAGCTTGTGAAGCCAGACATGCCCGGCCCTGGGAGACCCCTGCTCCCATGAAGATCCCCGGGGCTGGCTTGAACAGGAAACCCACCACTTGGACACCCTCTGGCAGAACTACTGCCTCGATCCCTGCAGCCCCACCCCAGCTTGCCAATGGAGGTAAGAGTGGCCCTAAGGGGACCAGGACAGAGGCAGTACCAAGGCAGGAAGGAAGGGCAGGTTCCAGGTTACTCATTCATTCAATGCCTACTGTGTGCCAGGCCTTTACACTTCTTTTGTTTTTGTATCTATTTTAGTTTTAGTTTTAGTGTGTGTGTGTGCATGAGTGCAGGTGCTCACGGAAGCCAGAGGTGTTGGGTCCCTCTGCTGGTTGTGAGTCTCTTGAGGTGGGTGATGGGGAACCAAACTTAGGTCCTCTGCAATGGTAGTGCTCACCCTTAACCGTGGAGCCACCTCTCCAGCCCTCATTTGACAATTTATTTATTTGTTAGATTATTTATGTGCACGGATGTGTTTGCCTGTGCTGTAAGAGAATGTTAGATGCCCTGGAACTGGAGTTGCAAACTGGTGTGAGCCACTATGTGGAGAAACTGAACCCCAGGCCTCTGGAAGGGCCGGTGAACTTAACTCTAGCCAGCCCACCAGCCGCAGATTTGTTTCATTATTATGTATGTGTGTGTATATATGTGTGCATCTGTGTGTGGGGTTGTGCATGTGTGACTGCAGTACTGTCATAGGCCAGAAGAGGGTGTAGGATCCCATGGAGCTGGAGCTAGGGGTGGCTGTGAGCTGCCTTATGTGGTTTTGATACTTGATCTTGGATCCTCTGTAAGAGCAGTAAATGGCTTAATTGCTGAGCTATGTCTTTAGCCTTTCAGTCCCCATTTTTTTTATTAATTTTAAATTGCATTTTTTTATTATATGTGTGCCATAGCATTTGTATGTGAGCTCAGAGAACAACTTGTAGGAGTCTGTTTCTCTCCCCCACCTTGTAGGCCCTGGGAATGGAACTCAGGTCTAGACTTGGCAGCAAGCATCTTAGCCCACTGAGCAATGGCCCTGTCCCACAAAATACACTTTCATTGACCCATGGTAATTGTACACGTTCATGGGATACTGTGTCATGTTTTACAGCTTATAGGCAGCATGAAATCAACAAGTTAGGGTAATTAGCATATCCACTGCCTCAAATGCTTAGTTCTTTGTGGTGGGAACATTCAGAATCCTGTTAGCTATTTTGAAACATACGCCTGACTGAAAAGCTCTTCTCCTTCTGGGTATGGTGGCACAGGCCTGAAATCCCAGCTCTCAGGAGCCTGAGGAAGGAGGATTGGGAGCCAGAAGCTAGTCTGGGTGAGACCTGGTCAGAAAGGGGGAGAAGGGAGCAGAGCTGAGTCTTCCTTCCACACAGCTGTACCCCGAACCTGCTAATGCTGAGTCTGGTTGTAGAAGAATGAGTACAGGACATTTGTTCTGATCAGGGAGGTGAGGCTCCCGGCCTAGACAGTGATCCAAGTCTGGCCCTAGACCACTAGTGAGGAAATTACCAGAAGCTGGAGGCAGAGGTGTAGCCAGCCCCCAGCCACCTGTGTTTAAACAACCACCCCACCCCCATGATTCTGCCATTCTATTGCTTAGTGGGGGGCCAGTCTAGAACACACATCCGTCTGTAAGGCCCCTCAGCGGTGGGAGGAGTGGGGAATGAGGAGGGGGTGGGGTGGGCAGGGAAACCTGACCCCAGAGAGGCGACTGTGGGGATTAGCCGAGCTGACCATGGGCCTGGGCTCTGGGAAGTCTAGAGCTTTCTGCACTTGTCTTTCTGAGGTCACCTTCTCCTCCGCCGCCGTTAGGTTGTGAGGCTTCACAGCAAATCCCCTCTAAGCCATCTCAATGCTGCCCCTCTTCCTTTTTGTTTGCTTGTTTTTGTTTTTTTTCTTCTTTCTTTGTTTAAAACATGTTCTTGTTTTGCTGATTTTGTTTTGTTTTTACATAGCAACCAAAGTTTCTGCTCCCTCCCTTCTTCCCAGTCCCTCCCCTCCACCTCCCTCTCCCCTTCCTCACCCCAAGTCCTCTCCTCCTCCTCCGTGTCTCCAGATACTTGAGAGCCTCCCAGGCCATCAGCCAGCCCTGGGATATCAAGTTGCAGTGAGACTAGGCAGCTCCTCTCTATTAAGGATGGATGAGGTGACCCGGTAGGAGAGAAGGGTCCCAAAAGCAGGCAACAGAGTCAGAGGCAGCCCCCCCCCCCCTAGGAGTCTCATGTGAAATCCGAGTTCCATGATAGTAGCATACGTGCCTCATCTTCCAAGTGTAGGACTGCCATACCTAGCTTTCTTCTTTCTTTTCTTTATCCCGCAATCCCAACGCTCTGCTTGGCCTCCTGGGTGAGTAGACCTTGTGGCCTGAGGGGAATCTGAGCAAGCCATCTCTTCTCCCTCTGTAGGATGCTCTCTCCCACCTCCTTCCCTGAATGATGAGGACCTAGACCTCCTCCCACCCCCTCCCCCACCCCCCTCGGCCTACCTGCCTCTCCCAGAAGAGGGGCCGCCTGCCCTGGCGGGGTCATCACTCATTTCCGACTTGGAGCAACTACATCTGCCCCCGCCCCCACCTCCAGACCTGCCACAGGTACTTTGAGTGTCCCCGAGCCTCCTTGGCCCCTGGGTGGGGGAGGGGCCTGGGCCTTTCCGGTATTATCAAGGGGGACGTGGTTTGGTCCATTCCGCTGGAAGGCAGTTGGTCTTCCGAGCCTCAAAGCTGGTAGAAACTGTTGAGGATTTTTAAGGTCCCTGGAGAGACATGTCCTCGCCACCTTTTTTGTCCCTTAGTTCCCCACTCTGCTCCGAGACATGTACTGGTTTTGACCCAAATCTCCACACTGCATAAGACAATTAATCCTCTGCCCTTCATAGAGAGGGTTGTCAACCTGAGGGTGTCCTGGGTCACAGTCTATCTAGGTCACCTACAGCCCAGTGTCAGTGGGTGGGACATGTCATCTCCAGGATAGTCTCAGAAACAGGAGTCAAGCTGGGCCTGATACTCCCAGATAGAGAAGGCTGAGGCAGGTTGACTACAAGGCCTAGCCTGGGCTACAAAGTAAGTGCAAGCCTGGACAACTTAGTGAGACTCTGTCTCAAACTAAAAGGTAGAAAAAAGGTTGGGACATATATAGTTAGGTCAGAGGTAGAGTGTTTACCTACCAAGCATGAGAGGTGGAGGGAGCCCCAGGCAGGGAGCATGGAGGTCCTGCTCGTGCTGCCATGGTAACTGTCCTGCTAGGCTACAGAGGCAGGACAATTGCTTCTCTAGCCTCAGTTTCCTCATCTGTACAATGGGACTAATTGTACTTGGAGCCATCTAGACAAAAAGCCAAGCTGAGAGGGTCAGGTGGGGTCCCTACCAACTGACCTCTCTCCTATCTCCTTGATTTATATCCCCACAGGCTCCACCGAAGGGATCTTCTGTCAGGCCTCTGCCCAGTCACCTCAAACCCACGGAAGAGGAGCTACCTCCTCCTCCAGAAGAGCCTGTCACTTTTCCAGAGAAAGAGGCATCCACAGGTACAGCCGTAGGCCTGGTCTCTGGGCCTTCTGGGGCCAGAAGGGGCTTCTCATAGGTGGGGGAGCAGGGTCCCTTGCTCACGTGACAGGGATGGTCTGTACAGTGTGCAACCGCTGAATGTCTGTTGCTGCCACGTGTTTGCTTCGGATTTGTTGTTGGTTTTGAGATAGGGTCTCATGTAGACCAGGCTAGCCTTGAATTAGATATGTAGCCAAGGATGCCCATCTCATGTTCTACCTGCCTCACCTTATGAGTGTTGGGATTATAGTATGCCACTGTTACTGGTTTGTATGTACTGCAGATAGAAGCCAAAGCTTCATCCCTGAAAAGCACATTCTTCTACCTCCCCAGCTACATCCTAACCTTTGTGTGTTTGTGTGGAGACAAAGTGTCTTTCTAGCCAGATCTGGCCTTGGACCTGAAATCCTCCTGCCTCAGCCTCCTGAGTGTCAAGATAACAGACATGACCCTTTAAAACTTCTTTTTCTCCTGTTACACAGAGGGACCTATCTCCAAAAACAAAATATTCTTTCTCTCGCTTTTTTTGTTTGTTTGTTTGTCTTGCTCTTTTTGTTTGTTTGTTTGTTTGTTTTTGAGATGGGCTCTCACTCTAGCTGGCTTGGAACTCACTATGCAGTCAGACAGGCTTCAAAGTTGTAGCAATCCTCCTGCCTCAGCCTCAATGCTAGTGAGCTACTATGCCCAGCTTTCTTTTTTTAATTTTTTTTTTTTTTTGTGGGGGATGTGTAGCAAGATGGCTTGTCACCAAGAGTGATGACTTCTGTTCCTGGGGCCCACGTGGTAAAACAGACTCTCAGAGATTGCCCCCTGATTTCTACACAAGGTGGACATACATGCACACACAATCAATCAATACATAAAAACATTGGGGTTTGGTAGTCATTTTTCCATTTGCTTATTTCATGTCTGTATGTATGATGTAGGAGGATTAGAAGTTTAAGGTCAGTGCTTGAGAGATGGCTCTGTGGTTAAGAGCACTGGCTGCCTTTCTAAATGGCCAGGGTTCAATTCCCAGCACCCACATGCCAGCTCATGACTGTAATTCCAGTTCTGGGGGATCCTGTACACTCTTCTGGCACCAGACATGCATGCCATGTACAAATATAGATGCAGGCAAGTACATATAGATATAAAATAATAAAATATACCTTTTAGAAAAAGAAGTTTAAGGTCATCCTTAGCTACATAGTAAGTTGAGGGCTACCCTGAGCTACAGGAAACTTTGTCTAACAAAACAAAACAAAGCCAACCAGGCATGGTGATACACACCTTTAATCCCAGCATTTAAGAGGCAAAGACAGGAGGATGTCTGAGTTTGAGTCCAGCATCATCTATGCAGCAAGTTCCTTAATGGCAGTAGGGGTACACAGTGAGACCATGTTTCTCCATGCCTCTCCCATCCCCCAAACACACACACACACACACACACACACACACACACACACACACACCAGTTTCTAATTTTGCCCTGAGCTTCGGGATCCTGTCTGTAGCAGCTACAGGATTGCTCTCATTCCTGGCTTCCTAGTGTGTCTCTGAGCGAGTTTCCCATCTCCATATGCAGCAGCTCCCTGACCTTTTTTTTTTTTTTTTTAAGGCTGTGTGACAGTCCCCAGTAGGAACATAGGTGTGGTGGGTTACACAGCTGCCTCCTGATGGATCTGTAGGTGGTTTCTTGCCCTAACTGCACCGAGCTGATTCATCTAGCTGCAGGGTTTTCTGGGGTAAATTCCTAGAAGAGGAAATACCCTATAAAAAAGCTTCTGATTTTGTATTTTTGTCAGATCACCTTCCTTAGTCATCCCAGCCTACGTGCACCCGCCAGCAGAGTTGAGTTGTTTCTAGAAGCTTCCACAGCACTCTGTGCCTTGTGTAATTGAGCTTTGACCTGCTTACTCAGGTCCTGCCCCAGGCACTGAGGACACTGTTGCATCTAATGCAGGGTCCTTTTTTCTGGGTCACAGAGCAAGACACAAGGGCAACTGTTTACCTAAGTGTGTCATTATCTTTTGACATGGTAGATTTTGTCACACAAAAAAGGGTTTTGTTGTTGTTGTTGTTGTTATTGTTGTTGTTGCTTAAGGTACAGTCTTACTGTATAGCCCAGGCTAGCCTGGACTTCTAGCCACCTTTGTTAGCCTTTAGGATGCTGTGATTACAGGTGTGAACCACCACACCAAACATCAGACTTTCTTGGAATTTTTTTTTTTTAATTAAGATTTGTTTTAACCAGACATGGTGGTGCATGCCTTTAATCCTAGCAGTCAAGAGTCAGAGATGAAACCTCTGGGTCTGAGACCAGCTTGGTTTCCAGATCAATTTGTTATTATTGTTGTTGTTCTTGGCTTTTCAAGACAGAGTTTATCTATGTAGCCCTGGCTTTCCTGGAACTCACTCTGTAGACCAGGTTGGCTTTGAACTTGGAGATCTGCCTACCTCTGCCTCCCCAAGTACTGAGATTAAGAGTGTGCACCATGAAGCCTATTTTTATTATTTGTGTGTGTGTGTGTGTGTGTGTGTGTTTGCTTCTGTATGTACACATGGGTGCAATACCTGTACAGTCCAGAAGAGGGCAATGGATCCTGGAGTTACAGGTAGTTGTGAGCTGACTGATGTGTGTTGGGGGTCCTGTGCAAAGCAGTGTGTGTCAGCTCTTCTCTTAGAATCCTTGTGACTTCCGTTGTACATATAGATCTTGAATCAGGATCATCTGGGTTTTGGTATCAACACAGACCCCCTTCACTTTCTTAGAGGTGAGACAGACGCTTGATGCCAATGTTGCTTCTTTGTTTCTTTGGTTTTTGTCTTGCTGTGTACACCAGGCTGGCCTGGGATTAAAGCTGTGCATCAATAGCAGGGCAGAGGAGGCTGTCAGATCTCTGTAAGTTTGAGGTCAATCTGGTCTCCATAGTGAGTTCCAGGACAACCAGGGCTTCATAGTGAGACCCTGTTCTGAAGACAAAAACAAAAAAGAGTGTGCATCACGGTGCCCCATACTGTGTCTTCGATTTTAGCTTCCCAAACTATCCACCTTCCTTCCCGGTGCTTACCATGACCCTCTGTATTTATCAGTTGAGGAATGCTTTGAGACTGGGCCCTGGGCTCACTGAATATTATATTCCGGGTGGTGACTGGATACTGCCTTCATGGGCTGGTGACATCTTGTGTCTCCCCTACCCCAGATGTCTGTGGCTTCTGTCACAAGCCTGTGTCCCCTCGAGAGCTGGCTGTTGAGGCCATGAAGAGGCAGTACCATGCCCAGTGCTTCACCTGTCGGACTTGCCGCCGCCAGCTAGCTGGGCAGAAATTCTATCAGAAGGATGGACGGCCCCTGTGCGAGCCCTGCTACCAGGTACTTCCCTGCATGCAGCCACTAGGTCCCATACGCTGACCTTGGCGGTTCTTTCTTTCCTTTCGGAGCTCCTGCAGATCTGAGCCAGTGGTGAGGCAGTGCCTTAAGGCAGGAGCCTCTGGCTGGAGCCTCCTGGCCAGCAAACAAGAGGAAGGGACCACGCCACACCCCCAGTAACACAGGCCTCCACTAAGCCCTGCCTCCTAAAGGCTCCCCCTCCCCCTCAACTGCACTTCCTGGAGCCTGGGCCTGGTAGGCTGATGGAGAGCATTCAATATGCAGCTGAACCAACTTGAAGCCACCAACTGAGCTTGGTGGCTTCAAAGGACACACATTTCCCTCTCATAGCTAAGGGGGTCATTGGATTCAAATCAAGGTGCCTCATCTCAGAGCTATGCAGGCTCTGGGGGAGGAGACATTTCTTTGCCTTTTCCAAGTTCTTTTCAGGGTTCTGTTTGCTTGTTTTTTCAAGACAAGGTTTCTTTGTGTAGCCCTGGCTGTCCTGGAACTTCCTCTGTAGACCAGGCTGACCTCGAACTCACAGAGATCCCCCTCCCTTCACCTCCCAAGGCGACACTGCACCTGGCCTCTTCTGGGGGTTTTTAAGACTGCAACATAGGGTGATCTTGAACTCCTGAGTAATGAGCCAGGTATGGTGGTGTCCTCGGGAAGCTGAGGCAGGAGGATGAAGAGTTCAAGGAGCTTGGGCTACATAGCAATAGCCTGTCTCAAAAAAAAAAAAAAAAAAAAAAAAAAAGAAAGAAAAAGAAAAAAAAGAGCAAAGATTTTATATACCAATAATCAGGAGTTGTGTTGAACACTTAAGAATTTGCTAGCCCCCCCCCCAAAAAAAAAGAGAAAAAGCGAGTGGGGTTTAGTGGTGCACACCTTTAATCCTCTCACTTGGAGGCAGAGGCAGGAGGATTTCTGTGAGTTTGAGGCCAGCCTGGTCCACAAAAAGAGTTCCAGGACAGCCAGGATTTACACAGAGAAACTCTGTCTTGGAAAATCAACCAAACCAAAAGAATTGTTAAGGGGGCTGAGTATGACAGCATACACTTGAAATCTAAATACTTGGTGGGTGGAGATTCAAGAGTTCAAGCTCATCCTTAGCTACATAGTGATTTTGAGTTCAACCTGGGTGGCATGGCACCCAGTCACAAAACTATCCGGAAAGAAAAAAATTATGGGTGCTTTTGAAAAATTATTAAGAAGGTATACCTTTCTTAGGCTGAGAATGTAATGGAGTAGCGGAGTATTTACCTGGCATACACAAGGCCCTGAATTCAGCCCCTCATACTTAAAAATAGAAGGGAGGGAGGAAAGAGGGAGGAAGGGCGGAGGTAAAGACAATAAAGGGACTGGAGCTGCCTCATGGCTCAGGGTGGGCATGTCTGTGGGTGGCCTGGAACAGTGGCTCTCTGCCCCAGGACACTCTGGAGAAGTGTGGCAAGTGTGGAGAGGTGGTCCGAGACCATGTCATCCGGGCCCTGGGCAAGGCCTTCCACCCACCCTGCTTCACCTGTGTGACCTGTGCCCGGTGCATCGGAGATGAGAGCTTCGCGCTGGACAACCAGAACCAGGTGTACTGCTTGGATGACTTCTACAGGTGGGAAGGAGACCAGGGCTGGGGGAGCAGGGAGGGTGGGACAGGACTCTGGCTCAATGGCAGGGCTGGGAGCCAGGCCAATAAATACTTCCTGCAGCTCCTGTGTCAAGAGAAGCCATCTTCCTTCCACATAATTCATGGGCATCTGCTGGAGGTAGTTGCCTTTTGAGTCCCTGCACTCTGCCAGACTCACACCTGACATACTCCATTCAGTCCTCAGATTTTGTATGGCCAGGAAGCGCAGTGAAAGACTACATTTTACCAGAAGTAGAAATTGAGGGGCCCAGTAACCAGGGTGCAATGAAGCTTCCATTTAAGCAGTTGAGGTTGGGAGCCGGGGTGGTGGCTCCGTCAGTAGAGCACCTGCCTAGCCTGCACAATGCCGTTCCATGTAAACATGCCGTGGTGACACACACATGAATTCCAACACTCCAGACGTAGAAGTAAGAGGGCCATAAACTTAAGGTTATCCTTGGCTACCCTAGCGAGTTCAAAGCCAGCCTGGGCTATATGACACTCTGTCTCGCGAAAATCAAAAGGACTTGACTTGGGGTCTGGATTTCAGACCCTAGGCTATGTCCCCTCCCCTGGGACCTGGAGGGAGGACTGGGGATACAGACACAAGGGAGACTCATGCTTCATCCCCCTGTTTGAAAGGAAAGAGATGGGTCATGGTGTTCCATGCCTGTGAAGACGGAGGCAGGAGGTTCGGTGCTGCCTGTCTGAGGTCAGTCTGGAGTGTAGAGTAAGACCCTGTTCTTATTAAGGAAACAGCAACACTCGGCAGGCAGGCCTCTGTGAATTCCAGGTCGGCCTGGTCTACATAGCAAGTTTCAGGCCAGCCAGGACTATACTGTAAGACCCTGACAAAAAAAGCAAACAAGGCTGACAAGAGGGCTCAGTGACCCACCACACCTGACAACCTGAGTTCAATCCCTGGGACCCACAAGGTGAAGGAGATAACTGACTCCTGCGTGTTGTCCTTGGACCTCCACATACCACTGAATAAATGCGCTAAAAATTTTTAAATTGAGCAAAGCATAAGATAATGAATGGCCAGGACCAACCACCGAGACTCCTCTCAGGGCCAACACTTCCCAGTCAATTACTGGCCTTGGCTAATTGCACTCTGGGAAGCTGGATCCATTGCACTGATTCCCTCCTCCTGCCTCTGCCAGAAAGGGTAGACATCTGTGGCTGTCTTTGCAGATTCTGTCACCTAGCAACGGGGGTGAGGGGCATCTCTGGGAGGCAAACTGCTCCCACCCCATCGCTGCCAGCTGATCTTGCGAGTGTGAATGGCTGACATTCCTGATATGTTCTTCCCCCTCCCTCTAGGAAATTTGCCCCCATGTGCAGCATCTGTAAGAATCCCATCATCCCCCAGGACGGGAAAGACACCTTCAAAATTGAGTGCATGGGAAAGAACTTCCATGAGAACTGCTACCGTTGTGAGGTGAGTAGCGCTAAAGTGTTTTAAAGTGCTGTGGCCATGGGCAGCGGTCCCTTGCTCACTGCCCTCAGTAGAGGCCAGGAAAAGTGGATACAAACACACAAGGCCCCATCAGAGTTCAGTGTGAGCAGAGACTGACAGCATCGGTAGCAAATGAAAGCCCCGAGGCAAGGCCGTCACTCTACCTCCTGGTCCTGCCTTTACTTTCTTTTCTGAGGGTTGGCACAGCACATGGGCACAGATAGCTCAGGTTTATAGCATTAGAAGCCCCAACAGAGCTGGCACCAGGATGGCCAAGAGGTTAAGGCACTGGACTTAAGATCTAATGAGCCTGCGTGGGGTTCGAATCCCACTCCTGGTGTAAGTGCTACTTTGCTGGGCCGTGGTGGTGCACACCAGGAGGCAAAGGCAGGTGGATCTCTGTGAGTTTGAGTCCAGCCTGGTCTACAGAGCGAGTTCCAGGTCAGGCTCCAAAGCTCCACAGAAACCCAGTCTTGAAAAACAAACAAAACAAAGAACCTTCAAGAGAATGAGAGTAGACCCCATTGTAGGAGGGACATACTGTCCAAAGAAGGTTCCTGGTTGGCCTGGTATAGGTCATTGTGTATTGCTATGACAAATGCCATAATCAAAAGCAAATTGGTTGAGGAAAAGACTTATTGTACAGGTTACAGTCTCCTGTTAAAACAGGAACAGGGGGCAGAAATTATGGGGGAATGCTGCTTACTGGGCCAAACCCTCTCTCTCTTTGGCATCTGTTCAGATAGATTTCTTACACTGCTCATGACTTCCTGCCTTAGGAAGGTACCGCCTTCAGTAGGCTGGGCTCTCCCATTTAGCAGTCAAGAGAATGCTGCACAGACATGCCACAGGCCAGTCTCCTCAGGGCAGTCCCCCATTCAGATTCCTGCAGATAACTCTGAGTTGTGTGATTGACAGCTGAAGCTAACGCCTTCCCAGCCTATCCCAGGCTGGGAGCTGATGAGCTAGAATTGACGCCCCTGGAGACAGAAGCCAGAACCCAGGAAACAGTCCTATCCTGTCCTGTCTCCCCACCTCACCCCACCCTGAAAGTGTCTCACTGCACAGCTCTAGCTATCCTAGAACTTACTGACCAGGCTGTCAGGCCAGGCTGACCTCAAACTCATGGGGATCCCCCTGCCTCTGCCTCCCTGGTGCTAAGAGTAATGTGTGCACCATCACACCTGGCCTCAGCAGGTAAAAAGGATTTTAGGGGCCAGTGAGATGGCTCAGTGGGTAAAGGAGCTTGCCACCAAGCCTGGCTACCTAAATTCAATCCCTGGGACCCACGCAGTGGAATGAAAGAACCAGCTTCTGCAAGCTGCCTTCTTATCCACACACTCTGCTGTGGCATAAGCATGCCCCCACGTACATGCACAATGAATAAATTAAAATGTAATAAAAATTTAAATGGGATTGGAGGAGAAAGGCTGTGATAAGTGTCTAACCAGGAGGTATGAGAAGGAAAACAATTCTTATAGCAGCGAGTGATGGCTCCTGACTATAATCCCAGCCCCGGGGAGGCTGAGGCAGAAGAACCTGAGCTTGAGGCCAGCCTAGAACACACAGTGAGACCCTTTCTGAGGGAGAAGGGGAAAAGGTACTTTTGTAGAGGAGGGGTATTTAGCCTATTACATGAGACCTGATGGCTTTGCCAGTTGCACAGAGGGGAAAGGAAATCCAGAAGGAGAGAAAACCTTGCAAGCAAGAGGACCTGGGTTCAGATCCCCAGAGCCCTTATGAAAAGTAAAGCGCACACCCATGATCTCAAAGAGGTTGAGCTGGGAAGAGGGGTTAGGATGATTCCTGGAGCTGTGGCCACGCCCAGCCTATTTGACGAAGTTCTGGGCAGTCTGAGTGTGTGCACCCAAGCACTTACAAGGAGGGAGGGGAGGGGGAAGGGACACAAAGGAGATTGGGAGTGACCCACTGCTGCAGGCAAAAATCTGAAGATCAGAGGAAGTGGAGGTTTCTAGGTGTGCCCGAGGGGCCTAAGAGAGGCAGCCAAGAAGGGGAGGGGCTGGGCTGCGATGGGAGGCTGCTTAGAAACCGCTACCATGGTCCAAGCCGGAAATGCCAGGCAGTGGTCATGTGATCAGAAGGGGCAGCTACTATGGCTTTATTTTTCACTTTATTTTTTAGCTGTATTTATTTTATGTATATGAGTGTTTTGCCTGCACGCATACATGTGTACTAAGTGTTTGTCTGGTGCCTGTGGAAGAGAGGGCCCTGGCTCCGGAGTGATAGATGGTTGAGAGTTACCATGTGGGAGCTGAGAAACAAACCTGAGTCCTCTGCAAGAGAAACAAGTGCTGTAAATTTAAACTCCTGAACCATCTCTCCAACCCAAGACCTCATTTTTATTCATTCATTCATTCATTTATTTATTTATTTTGGTTTTTCAAGACAGGGTTCCTCCGTGTAGTTCTGGCTGTCCTGGCTGGAACTCGCTCTGTAGACCAGGCTGGCCTCAAACTCAAGAGATCTGCCTGCCTCTGCCTCCCGGGTGCTGGGGTTAAAGGCCTGTGCTACCACCGGACTGCATTCTTTCCTTCTGCCTGGACCGTGCAGGTCCAGCAGTGAGGCTCCAGGACTCTGCCCACTCCCTCCCTCCACTGCCGCCCCCGTAGCTCTGACAGGTGGTAGTTTTTTTTTTTATGTGAGTCGCCTCCATGGAGAGAACAGGGTCTCTCAATCAGCCAATGAGTAATTGCAAACTTTTCTTCACTTGTATTATTTGAAGAGATAATGGAGAGCCAAGGGGTCCTTGGGAGAGAAGTTGATTGCTTCATGTGTAGTCTGACTTTGTCAGTTAGGGTTCAAGGTCTGTGCGGCTGCTAACATACCCTAAAAGACCTTTGAGGAAGATCAGTTGCTATTTTTGGTTCCAGAGCCTTGATAGAGCCTACCAGTACCAGGCGTTTCTAAAGCCTGGCTGAGCAAATAACCTCCACTTCCTGTCCAAGTTGCCTAGTAAGTCAGGATTTGGACTCCAGGAAACTACGTTTCAATAGGTGAGGCCCAGCCAAGCTTGGTGGCTCAAGCCCGGGCTGAATTAAACCCTATCCTTTTTATTGCTGTTGTTGTTAGGTTTTTTATTTTTGTTTTCTGAGACAGAGTTTCTCTGTGTAGCCCTGTCTGTCCTAGAACTTACTCTAGACCAGGCTGGCCTTGAACTCACAAACTCACAGAGATCCACCTGCCTCTGCCTCCCGAGTGCTGGGATTAAAGGTGTATGCTGCTGCCGCAGCCACTACCACCCAGCTAAATTAAGCCGTGTTTTTATTATTATTATTTATTTATTCTTACATACATTGGTGTTTCACCATATTCTCAGGTCCCCTGGAACTGGAGTTACAGACAGCTGTGAGCTTCTATGTGGGTACTGGGAATTGAACCTGGGTCCTTTGGAAGAGCAGTCAGCACTTTTAACCACTGAGCTATCTCTCCACCTTAAACTGACCCCTAAAAACAAAACAAAACCCACAGATGTAAAACTCCTGGAACAGAACTGTGTTCTGTTTCTCCCAGAAGGAAGTGTGTGCCCATGAGATCCCTCACCGTTCCTGCTGACTCTGGGGTCTATGCCATTTATTACTGTTGTTGGAGGGGTGATGATATTCTTAAAAGTGGAAAGTGCTTTCTAATTATAAAAACTGTCATATGTATTGCCTTAGTAAATCCTAATGACAGTCTTGGGAGGTGGCTTATTGTCCCCATTTAAGCTGAGAAAACTGAAGCTGGATATGGTGGCATACACCTGTTGTTCCCAGTACTGGGACGCTGAGGTGGGAAGGTCAAGAGTTCAAGCCAGCCTGGGATAAATAAAGAGATTTTGTCTCAAAACAAAGCCAACCTGGGTGTAGGATGGAGAGTTCAAAGTCATCCTTGGCTACGTGGTTTGAAGCTAGCTTCAGATTTAAGATCTTGTCTCAAAATGAAGGGGGATGGAGAGATGGCTCGGCGGTTAAGAGCCCTGGCTGCTCTTCCAGAGGATCCAGGTTCAGTCCCCAGCACCCACATGACCTCTCACAACTGTCTGCAACTCCAGTTGTAGGGGACCATCCGGACACCCTCACACAGATAAACATGCAGGCAAAAACACCAATACACATGAAATATAAGTAAATATAAAATGGAGAAGAGGGTGAGGAGGAGCGGAAGGCTCTGTGCCACCATGGGCCCACATGTGCTTCTGTGTTCCTAGGCCTGCAGTGTCCTCCTGTCTGTGGAGCCCACCGACCAGGGCTGCTACCCCCTGAATGACCACCTCTTCTGCAAGCCCTGCCATATGAAGAGGAGCGCTGCAGGGTGCTGCTGAGAAGCCCCTGGCCAGCCCCCGTTGGTTTCCCTACCTGACCTTCCTTGCATGCTTCCTTTCCTTTCCTTTTGAGCCTCACTGGACACCAGCGCATTGCTCAGTGCACAGCGTCTAGACACAAGGGCCTGAGACCCTGGGGCTTGCACCCTGCCCCCCCCATACACAGCACCCTCCAGACTTTCAACTCTTCTGTCTCCTCCAACCACAAGGCCTCTCACCATGGGACTGCGACCCTGGTCCCTCTCTGGTGCTGGCCCTGACCTGTTCGTGGGGACAGGTCTAGGCTATGTCTCTGACCATGATGCTTAGCTGTCCAGCAGAAGATAGTGAGACCAGCTTAGTGCATTGAGCTGAGCTGTTTGAAGTGTGCCTGCTCAGTTACTAGAAAGTATATTTTCAAAATTTAGAAATGTATGGGGGGCCTGGGCACAGAGGCAGGCGGATCTCCGTGAATTTGAGGTCAGCCTGGTCTACAAGGCTAGTTCCAGGAAAGCCAAGGCTGTCCAACAAAACCCTATCTTGGAAAAAAAAATAGAAAAAAAAAAAAAAAACCAAAAAAACCCAAAATCTTGGCTGGAGAAGGGTTCATTTCCCAGCATCTTCATGGAGGCTCCTAAGTACCTCACTTGCAACTCCAAGTCTAGGAGATCTGGTGCCCTCTACTGGCTTCTTCAGGTACCAACATGCACACAGTCCACATATACTCAAGCAAGCACACATACACGACAAAAAATAAATCTTTAGTCAGGTGTAGTGGCATATGCCTTTAATCCCAGCACTTGGGAGGCGAAGGCAGTTGAGTCTCTGCATTTGAAGGCAGCCAGGGCTACACAGTGAAATGCTGTGGTTTGTTTTAAGTGGCTGGGTTTGGCAGTCCACATCTATGGATCCTATTGTTTGAGAGAAAACTACCAGAAGCTTGAGGCCTGCTAGGTCTTTGTAAAATTCCAGATCAGCCTCAGCTCCATTCAGAGACTGTGTCAAAAAAAAACAAAACAAAACAAAAAAAAAACCAAAACAAAAAACCATAAATGCATAGGAACACAATGCAGTGATCACTCAGCCTTCACACCTGCTGACGTGGCCAGCAGCCTCCTTCTGCTTCTTGGCCCTCCTGTGTGCTTTTGTGAGAGTCCACAGACATGGATTAAGTGCCTTTGATTTGCTAGGGAACAAGGGTGGGCTGAACCTTTCCTACAACCTTCACTGGGGCTGAGGACTGCCCAGGTTTTCTCCTCCCCTCCTCCAGGATAAGACCAGGGAAGGACATATCCCTTTGGTTTCCCATTTATACCTCCCAACCAACCCCCACTTTAGGCCCTGCAGCCGGGCTGCCCATAACCACCGCCTCCATGAGGCTACACCTAGAGTATTGTTCCTTTTAAATTTACTTTAGGCCTGGCAAGATGACTCAGCTGGTAAAGGTGCTTGCCACCAAGCCTGATGACTTGAGTTCCATCCCTGGGACCCACACTGAAGGAGAGAACCGTTCCCCATAGGTTGTCCTCTGGTTTACACGTGCATGCCACAGATACACATTTGTGCACACATGCACATACAAGTAATAGTAATAGAAATAGAATGTAAAATAGGAAAAAATCACTTTTATGCTTTGTAATTTCTAAGATGCACATAGAACAAATTAAACATGTTTTACTTTCTTGTATCTTCTTTTTATTCAGTGGGTTGGTTGTTTTCCTTTTGGATTTAATTTGTGTGAAATGGTGTCTTAATGTGATCCCGGGCTGGCCTTGAACTATGTGTAGTCCAGGGTTGTTTTGACTTCAAATCCCCATCTCCACTTACTATATTCTTGGATTTTGTTTCTAGGGCTCAAACACAGAGGTACATGAGACCCTCCCCCCCCCCCTTTTTTTCCTTTTCCTTTCTTTTCTTTTCTTTTTTTTTTTTTTTTTAGACAGGATTCCTTTATATAGCCTTGGCTGTCCTGGAACTCCCAGAGATCCCCTGCCTATGCCTCCCGAGATCTGGGAGTAAAGGCTTGCACCACCACAGCCCGGTTGAGACCCTGTTTTAAATATATAGGCGGCTGGGGGTGTCGTAGCACATTGAGTACATTAAACATATACTTGAGACCCTGCCTTCCATCCCCAGCACCAAAACAAAATGTATATGAATGAAAGCAGATACCCAGAAACTCGGAGAGAAGCTAGAAAAGTGGTGACATGCTCCAGGTCCTCCTTTGGAGGACATGAATTCCCCCCACGGGGAGGTCCTGAGAGGCTGGCCTGAAGTTTGCAGCAGCGGACCCCGGACTCCATCAACGCAGATGTGGCGTGCAGCCACTAGGGGGCGGCATAGGCCAACGTACTGGCAGTGATAGCCGGGCGCCAAGGCCGGCTTCACATCAGCCAGCTAGCTAATCTCTGCGCGAAGCGGGCCAATAGCTTCTCGGGCATGTCCGCTGCAGCAAAAGGCAGAAAGAAAACGTCGCAAAAGAGTGACGTAGCCACGAACTTTCTCCACCTGTCGCAGGACTGTTCAGTTGGAAGAAGACCTACAGCAGATTAAGCCCCCACTGGCCCAAACCCTTACCTGCTAGGGGGAGGGGCCACCAGTAAAGCCCAGAATGAGTCCTTAGGAACAAAGAACGAATAAGAGTTGCTCCGAAGCCCCGAACTTTCCCCTAGCTCTGTACCAGTGTCCCTCTCACCTGAGGCCACACCCAAGTACTTGGAGTATGACCTCACTAGCACGCGCCTGCCCCTCCAGGAGGGCCTGCCGCTGCCCACTCAGCTGGAATCACCTTCGGAAGGGATCGGCTGATGGGCTGATGGTGAAGCATGCTTGTGCATGCCAGACATCCCCGGAAGCTGAGGCAGGAGGATGTAGAGTCAAGGTCATCCTCTCTTTTTAAATTTTGTGTGCATTGGTGTTTTGTCTGCATGTACGTAAGGGTATCGGATTACAGGATTACAGACAGTTGTGAGCTGGGTTCTCTGCAAGAGCGGGTAGTGCTCTTAACAGAGCCACCCCCCCCCCAGCCCTTTCAAGGTCATCTTTGAGGACATAGTAAATATCAGGTATGCCTGGGCTACTTTGAAAGGGTGTAAAGACGGACAGTGCTGGGCTGGACAGATGGTATGTGAGGGTATGAGATCCTCAGAGCGGCACTATTAATAAAAGACAAAAAGTAAAGTTAAGGAAATACCCCCCACTTGAAATGAAGGACAGTCTGACCTGGAAAGCTAACCCAGACCACTATCAGTTACCTGGAATTTGCTAACCACCGGCAACTTTCCCTCACAAGGCCCTAAGATAGCAGGATATCAAGAATTCACACTGCCCCTCCTTTCAGTGAGTCAGCAGGTGGTAAATAGGGTCCTTAAGAAACAAAGAGATTAGCTGCAACTCCGGTTTGCCCAGACAAGATTAATTAGCATACCCAGAGGCCCTAAGGTGGGACCCTAACAGTGGAACCATCTGGCCTCAAAGGGTCAAAGGACAGAGGGTCACACCCCCTCCCTAAGCTTGTGGTTTTTTCCTTTAAAAGTACCCGGGCCCGGAGAATGGGGCTTTTCTCTAGCCTGCGTGCTGAGGGAGCCCATTTCCCGTTCATTAAAGCCTCTTGCGTGTTGCATCAATTGGAATGTTCATTGAGTTCTTGAGGGTACCGACCAAAACTGGGTGACTCCTCATTCTGAGGGTCTTACATTAATGCCCCCAGTTCATGGACAAGGAAGCACACCCACCCACCCACCCCACCCATCCCCGTAAGGGGTAGAACACATACCCAAGGCTGCATGGTCAGGATCAGGGATTTCCAGTAACATCTCCAGGAGTCCTGATAGGTACACTTCAGAAACATCCACGTTATGGAATATACCAGAAGCCATTATGCAAGCAGAACAGATGGCAAACTTCAACCGAAAAAACAATTTTTTGGACAGTCACTTAAGCTGGTTATGTGGCTCAGTTAATAGTGTATTTGCCTAGTGTGCACAAACCCAAGTCTTGGGTTTGGTCCCCAGGCATGACACAAGCCATATACCAGGGGTAGTGGCCCATGACTGCAATTCTAGCACTCAGGAGAGAGGGGAAGGAGGATCAGAGGTTCAAGGTCACTGTAGAGACTTTGAGGCCAACCTGGAACACCAAAACAAATGAATGCATTAACAAAAACTTGAAGGTTGTTTTATTTTTTATTTGACCTGTATGGGTGTTTTACCTGCATGCATGCCTGTACACCTGATGTTTTGAAAGACCAGAAAAAGGTACCAGATTCCCTGGAACTGGAGTTATAGACATTGCGAGCCACCAAGTGGGTGAGGGGAATTGAACCTGGGTCCTTTGGAAGAACAAACAGCTTCTTGACTGCTAAGCCATTTCTCTAGCTCCTCGTTTCATTTTTCTCCTGCAGTTTTTACCTTGTTTTTTCATGTGTTGTTGTAATTTTTAGGACTGGGTAGGTGGTTCAGCATTATACACTGTCCTTGCTGAGGACCTGGGTTTGATTCCCAGCACCTGCCTGCCACTCCAGGGCCACTGGATCTGACACCCTCTTCTGTCCTCTGAGAGCTGCTGCATACAAGCTCGTGTACACATGTTAGCCCTAGACTGCCTTCAGCAACTCAGTGCCAGCAGACACATCATCACCAGCCTCCAAATGTGACACTCCTGAGCCCTTTAAATGGTCCCCACCATCATAGCCCACTGTCTGTCTCCTGGTCTGTCTGTCTATCTGTCTCTCACTATCTCTTTCCCCTCCACCGCCCCTCAGAGGCAGCCTCTGTACACCCCACACGAGATAAATCTCTCATAAGATCTGTTTCATGGTGTGATCTTTGAAGCATATCTTGTCCCTGACCCACAAAAATGTACACCCATCGCATAAACCTTAACAACACACACATACACATGAAAACAAATACACAAAGACTTTTTACATTTATTTCTGTAGAGGGGCATCTGCATGCCACAGCTCATCTGTGTGTGTGTGTTGTCTGTGTGTGTGTTTGTGTGTTGTCTGTGTGTGTGCTGTGTGTGTGTGTGTTTGTGTGTTGTCTGTGTGTGTGATGTGGCTGTGTATGCTGTGTGTGTGTATTTGTGTGTGTGTATTTGTGTGTTGTGTGTGTATGTGTGTGTGTGTGTGTGTGTGTGTGAGTGTGTGGTGTTGTTAATGCTGCTACTGCTGCAGCTGGAAATTACTGACCTACATCCTCAGACCTGAAAAAGAAGTCTTGGATGGATTCTGTCCCTAAGGGGCCTGAGCTCAGGCCTTGATCTCAGCTGTACTTTACCAAGTGTTCTGCAATGTCCTCTGTTCCCCCAAGAAGAGGCCTGGCATCCCGTGTGTGTGAATCACATCACTCCTCAGAGGCAGACTGTGGACTGAACCCATGTGCCTGGGCCTCGGTCGGAAGCTATGAGCTGTCCACACAGCACACCCTTCCTGTTGCCCGATGGTTCCAGCCTTTCCCCCTTGTCTGTAAACTGTTGTGTAGCTCTGTAAATTGCAGGTGGGTGAAAATTTAGTCCTGTCTGCTAGAGTTTTCCCAGCAGCCTCCCCCTTGTGGAGAAACTAGCACTTGCTTGCACATGATCTCACAGGTCTGACCTGAAATGTTTTTTAAGCTGGTGGCAACACACCCTGTCAGCTCCCTCCCTCACCAGCAGTGGGAACCCTTTAAATTTTTTTCTTTTCTTCCTGTGCTGGGACTGGAACCAGGACCTTATGAGATTCTAGGTTCTTACCTATGAACTAACCTGGAAAAACTCACTAAACACTTACTTTACCAGGCTGGGGAGAGGGCTCAGCAGTTGGGAGTGCTGGTTGCTCTTCCAGAGGACCTGGGTTCAGTTCCCGACACATATGGTTGTCTGTGGCTCCAAGTGTGTGTGTGGGAGGGTGTGACACTCTCACACAGACATACATGCAGGCAAAACACCGATGCACATAAAATAAAAATACAGAATAATTTAATAAATAAGCTTTTAAAAACACTCTTTTGCCAGATGTTCATAGAGGATCCCTACAGCAAGTAGGCTAACACAGTTAATGACCAGCAGGAGGCAGCTGCCCCAGGGCAGCCTGAGAAAGGGAAGGGGAAGGAAGGGAGGGAGGGGTGTGCTCCAGTGGGAAGGGCTAGGTCAAGTTCTGGTTGGCTGTGGTTATGTTAGCTCCTAAGCAGTCACTTGTCCTTGAGAAACCCCTTTAAGATTTTTGTTTCTTTTGCTTTTTTGTTGTTGTTGTTTTGTTTTTTCTAGACAGGGTTTCTCTGTGTAGCTTTGGAGCCTTTCCTGGAACTAGCTCTTGTAGACCACGCTGGTCTCGACCTCACAGAGATCTGCCGGCCTCTGTCTCCTGAGTGCTGGGATTAAAGGCTTACGTTACCAACACCAGCCCGGCTTTGTTTTGCTTTTTTCAAGACAGGGTTTCTCTGTTACTGCTGTCCTGGAACTCTCTTTGTAGACTAGGCTGGCTTCAACTCACTGAGATTCAACTGCCTCCAGAGTTCTGGGATCAAAGGCATGTGCCACCTCTGCCAGGCTCCCTTTAAGCTTGGAGGAGACAAAGAAGAATAATTGCACACTCCCTGCATTCCTGTTTGGGTCGATGCAGGAAGGCCAGGAAAAAGGCAGCCATGTTTCTCCAGGGTCGGAGGTAGGTTAGGGTCTGGAAGGTTCTTAGTCAGGCGACATA